CCAATGCAACATCATCAAGGCGTAGCTCTGTGCCGTCGACTTTGCGAACGATGACGGACTGGATTTCGGACATGTCGGCCGCGGCTCGGACACCCCGCACCGTTCCCGCCAATGGATTGATATTGCTGGCCGTTGGATGCTGCAGGAGTAGTTTATGTAGCACTTTTTGCACATTGGATCGCCTCATTAGCGGTGCGTCGGGTAAACGGCCCTGCGGATATTCTTGAAACGGGCTGGAGATCCGCACCCCGGAGTAGTGTAGTTGCGCATCAGCGGGTACCAGTCTGAATATATTCTCAGCCAATTAAACACACATTTACCCGACTTTTCATGCACTTACAGGCCGCCGGCAGCCTTGAATTCGGTGTCGAAATCAGGCCAGAGACGTCTAGCGCCCATGACGAACAGACTGACGAACGCTGACGAGAGGAGTTCATAACTTGAATCGCCCGGGAGGATTGAAACGACTCACCATGGAGCGCATTATATTGCATGATCCGAGTCTTGGGCTTTTCTTGGTCAAGGATTTCTGGATCAACTAGCATGACCTGCTCGAAATGGTCGGCAAGTATGCGAGCGGTAACCATTCCGGCGACGCTGTAATTCAAAATTATTTACGAACTTGAGGAAACGAAGTAGGGACGGCGCACCTTCCTCCGCAAACGATAGCGGTGCCAGAAAGCTTCTGCTCCCTGGGTTGGCCCAGCATGTCAAGTTCCTTGATCCATACAGGTCGACTCTTGCAGATTTTCTGCCATGCGATTCCAAGGGTAACCAAGATGCAGGCACAGCCGGTAAACCAAGTCAGTGAAGGGGTTGAAATAGAAATCATGCCAGAGACGAGGAGCGCCTCGTTGGTGGTGTGTTTTAAGTAGAACCAATATGAACGGGCAACGAGGAGCATTCATCATCGACCTGAGCATTCGGGACCAGCAGGCGAGGGTGCACAGGCAGAGAAAGATTGGCGCTATCAACCTATCAACGCGGGAATGTTTGAGATGGCATTCGGACCAGCTCGGAAATTATACGCCGCGTGGCATTCGGATCAGCTACACGGATGTCCAATTATACGCCGCAAAGCAACCCTTCTCCTCGTTGTCGTAAAACATAGCCACAGCCGTAGCGTCGGCAGAGGGAAGCTCATAAGCGAATAGAGGATTAGACGGAATCGTTCAGCACGGTTCGTCAGCGAAGGTATTTCATGAAGTAGAATTGCCCCGGCCAGAATGCGTCGGAGGACTGGTATTGATATTGTGAGGTGGAGAGTCCGCGCCATCTTCGTCACTTCGTTACTTCGCGTAGCGTTGGGAAACTTCGTCACTTTGATGGGAATTGGTGAAAGTTCGTCACTTTGATGGCTTTCTATGAAAGTTCGTGAGTTGCTATTCCGGGCTTGTCAAGCGCCGACTCCTCGGCACATCACGGAGTGATGAAAATCAGTGAGGTTAGTGTTTTGGTTAGGTGGTTTTGGTTAGAGGTTAGGGGTTTGGGGTTACTGGTTAGCAGTTAGTGGTTAGTGGTTAGTGGTTAGGGTTAGTGGTTAGTGTTAGGGTGAAGGATCTATATAAAAAAACACTCCCCGGCTTGTGTGAATGAACACTGATGGCCGGTGTTCCGAGGTCTTGACGGTGCCGAGTTGAAGTGACGAGCTTTCACAGAAAGGAGGAAAGTGACGAACTTTCTCAAATTCCCATCAAAGTGACGAAGTTTCACGTACCTACGCGAAGTAACAAAGTGACGAAGGTGGCTACTACCCTGAGGTGGATGAGTGGATGATGTTGGAAACGGACTGGGGATGATTCGTCATTTCGCAGTCTCAGGTGCAATCTTGCCTCCGGTGACACGGGAATGCGGTTTGAATCCAGTCTTCTCGGAGCGAGCGTTCTAGTTATACTCCGAAGGCCTAGATTCAGATCGCGTGTGTTGACCGTCTCTCCGACCGCAGTTAGTGGATTACCCGATTCTCCGGCTTACCTCGAGTTCCATGACCGTCCAACGGAGCAATGATGTGGGCAATCAAAGTCCTGGAAGATTACGCACTCCGAGAGTGATCTCAACCACTTCACCGACCCGAGTCCAGCGGGGACCTAAAAATCCTTACTTCCTTTACCCTGGGCCCTGATACTGTATCTAAACAACTTGAACCGCGGTTCCGACACGCGGAGTTTGGTTTCATGTCACCTGTCAGGTGCTGTGCTCCGTACCTTGCACCCGTCAAAAAAGTGGAGTTTCCCCGACGTTTATAAGCGGGACCGGCCGTGTAGTTCTATCTACCTGGCATATAAACCCCACTGTCCTTCAGCGTCTTTTTCAAGATACACCATCCTTCCATTCTTCTACAGGCTAAGTCCCATCCAACCCAATGGTTCAAGTCTCGAAACAGCACAGTATGACTTATCCCAGGCTCTCATTTCGAATATCCGCTGACACTCTCCGCAGAGAAAGTCCGATTCTCGACCGAGAATATCGACAGCATCCTGGGTTTCGCTTTCATCTCAGACGCAATCGACCACGAGCTGCGCGTATTCTGGGACTTCACCTGGCGGGACTGGTCCGCGAGTTTTTGAACACATGATGATATTCGAAGATGAAATGTCCCGTGGCTGGGTATTTCCCAGAAGAACCACATGCGGGCCACAGCATATCTTGTAGCCGTCCTTTCTAGGTCAAAATAAGGGACGAGTATCACCGGAACACAAGGTGCTTCCTGGCATCGAATCTCGCCCACATTGGCCTACGGAAGGCCTTGTATACGTGTCGAAGCGCTCGACTTGATAACACGAGTGCTGAAATTCAACGATAATGAGTGGGGGATGGTGATTATTTGGAGATAATCAGTGACGTATATGTTTGAACTTCAATGCGAATGAACAGAGGCTGGCGGATCAGATTCTGTGAGATAGGGGCGGATACGTCATTCATTCAAGCTCCGCCGGCAATCGCCGACGGCTTGCTTCTGACCTTCATGTCGCTTTTCTTCGAGTTTATCTCTCGAGTGCAACCTCCCGCGGATCCTCCACCAGGTTATCAGGTACCAGGTTTCCTGTATAGCGGACCTTCCCCAGGACATTCTTTTCGAGCTCGCGAAGCAGTTGGATGTTGCCAATCTCATCAGTCTCGCGGTAATTCGTCGTCTATCGGCTTTGAATCGTTACTCTCATTTTTGCAGACGTGCCGCCTCATTCGCGAGTTAAAATTTCAGCGGAGTCTGTGGATTGAGGCGTTTGCCCGAATCAAAACCGTGCAGATGCAACCCCTGCCTTTGTCGAGGGCGGACATATTGTCGCTGTAACAGCTCCAAGACACCGTGCGGCCGGCCCACCGGCTCATTCACAACCTTCGGTCTGATAATCCACGTCCTGTTCTCATCAGAATGTTCAAGATAGGAACACCCGTGGATGGTATTTTGCCATACCAGGCGCAAACATCGCGGTGTCGTATCGCGCGGAGAGCGTGAACTGTTGGGACATTCTGACTTAGGCAGTTTTTTATACCCCGAGGAAGCCCCTTTCGCAAGTGAGACAAGAGTCGGCGAGATATCCTCCGGTGGAGCCAGCGGGCTTCTCGGCGAAATGGAGAGTTTAGAACAGTCTCATCTGGATTGGGGCCCGCAGGGGCACCAGGACATGGATGTGAAGGATGGGGGTGAGATTTGTAGACAACATGGACCCGTCGCCTCGGTGGAGGAACAAACTTTCACATACATTATAATTGAGATAACTACTTGTGCAGGTCACATTTTTGTACTACCCACTAGTACTATTTCAAATCCTTTGTTCCGTGGTCGGTGTCTCGCTCGCGTCTCAGACTTCTCCTGTACTCGAACCTCTTGCAATTTATTTTGGGTATTTTTAACCTTTGTTTCCACAAGTGCAGAGTTTTCCAACCTTATTGCAGCTCCTCTGATTCCCCTCATGAAAAAGTTTAGGAGTTGAACGTTGAGCTGACAAATGCAATCTGAATCTTTCGGCTGCCGACCCGGCCCGACTTCTGGCAATTTCCTCCTCCCACCTAGAACGTGCAGATTCTGCTAGACGGCCTGCGTTCCCCCATGAACCACGATACAGATTCATGTTCTCGATGTTTAAGTCCTGTTGCTTCATGGGCCGCGCGAATGCGAAGGCATCCGCTAAGCTCATCCGCGCGGCAATGCAGTTCCTCCTAGCACTCAGATCGCTGCTGCACATACCACTCTAACGCAACAGCTTATATCATGCGGCTGCCGGATAATGGATCTCTCCCGAACCCCATCCACGTTGGAGCTACTGGAATGCCTCAACTTATTCCTCACTTTCCTCTGCGACATGATCTGCGAGGAGCTCCGAAACCTACGACCTGCGAGATTTCGCACCTGGAAGCATAATCAACCCTCTCAGAGAGGAGATCTTGCTCTCTATCAAGGTCGTGCGGCATGTTCGGCGAACCCTCATCGGGGTGCGAAACTTTGCCGAGAATCCCCCCTCGCCTTTCGAGGTTGCGATATCTGGCTGATACGAAGCTGCCAGCAGACCAGGAGCATACTCGATTGAATGTTCTCGGGAGGAATTCAACGTCTGGATGATGGAGAACACATTAGGTGGTCTGCCGAGTCATCTCGTCGTTTTATTTCCTACCACGTTCTTCACACACACACACTACTACATGCACAAGAAAGCCGTCGTGGACTATGGCGGTCATCCTCTACCTATGGCATTATGTCGGCGTACGGATGCGGGGAAGTCGGAGGTTCGATTCCTCCCGACGGTATATCAGGTTTCCAGCTAGTTTTTTACTCTCGTTCACCAGCTCTCTCTCACACACCTATATCGAGGTATCTAATGTATAAGAAAGCCGTCGTGGACCATGGCGGTTATCTTCTACCTATGGCGTTACATTGGCATACTGTGGGAAAGTCGGAGGTTCGATTCCTCCCGACGGCATATCAGGTTTCCAGCTCTTTTTTTTGCCCTCGTTCACCAGCTCTCTCACTCACCTATCGCGGTACTCAAGTGCATAAGAAAGCCGTCGTGGACCATGGCGGCCATCCTCTACCTATGGCGTTACATTGGCATACTGTGGGAAAGTCGGAGGTTCGATTCCTCCCGACGGCATATCAGGTTTTCAGTTCGTTTTTTTCCCCTCGTTCACCAGCTCTCTCACCCACCTATCAAGGTATTTACATAAATGCATAAGAGAGCCGTCGTGGACCATAGTGGTCATCCTCTACCTATAAGTTATGGGGAGGGTAGGTTAAGAGGGAGCCGGAGGTTCGATTCCTCCCGACGGCATATTCAGGTCATCATTTGTTTTGCTACGTTGCCCACCTTTCACTGCCCGCCTATTCAACAATCAGGAGTAGATGGCTGTTTGAATTCCCTCATTCACTCACCGCTCACCCGCTCACCAAATACACAAACTAACCTGCAATGCTACCTTCTAGCGGCATAACAGCGGTGAATTTGGCGCTATAATACACAATACAAGATACGTAGAGTAGCCAATACATGATACGTAGAGTACAGAGTCCAGCAAACGAGCGTCAGGGATAGCAGTGTAGTACAAGTCCAACTTAAGTTACAAAGTCTGTCCATCGCCGGAGCGAATTTTGAGTCCATCTGTCTATTGTTCAACAGCACACTCAAAATATCCAAACCCCCTACGCGCCACCCATCATCCGTCGCCCCGCCTCCACGCGCGCAGGGTCGCGCCGCACCTTCCCCGCCAGCACCGTCGTCTCCCCGCGGAGCGTGCGCAACAGCGACGTGCGGCAGCTCGGCTGCGTCGTCGTCGGTACTACTGGTGCCGGTGCTGGAGCGGCTGGGAATGGTTTGCGTTTGCGTTTGCGGGCGAGGAAGCGAGCGCGGAGTTCGAATTCGCATTCGCAGCCGAATCGAGGCTCCCGCGCGCGACGAACGCAAAGGGCGGGGCGCCCTTGGCGAACGCGGACGGCGGGGGCGCCCCATCGAGGCTCGCGCGCCCACCCCCGCGCACGCTGCGGGAGGCCCAACGGGCGATGGAGGAGGGCGCGGTGCTGATGATGCTGGCGCTCAGAGGCGTGCTCGCGTCGGATCCTGAGCCGGAGCTTGAGCCGGTCAACGTGGAGGCAGAGGCAGAGGGGGCGAGGATGGGCGCAGCGCCGGGGAGGGGCACGACGCCTGCGTCGACGAGCTGCGTGCGGCGGCGCTCTTCCGTTGGTGGCATGTCGGGGACGGCGGCGTCGGACGCGCCTGGCATTGATAGACCGGCTGGCGTTGAGGGACCGGATTCAGAGGGAGTGGGCGTGGGCATGTTGCGCGAGGAGCCGGAACCCGCGTATGCGTGCGGGCTGAAGCCGCTCGCGGTTGTGCCGTCGGTGCTAGTGGTGGCAAGGTTCGGTTCGGTTCAGGTTCAGGGCACTTTGCTCTGAACGCCGAACCTGAACCTGGCGTTCGGTTCAGGGAATCACTGAACCTTGAACCTGAACCTGGCGTTCAGGTTCGACAGGTTCGGTTCGGCGTTCATCAGCGTTCGAACGCCGAACCGAACGCAGTTTTTTGGCAAGAGCTCGAACCTCAAGAAAAAAGGAAGAGAAAGTAAAATTTAGCGGGTCAATACATGTCAGAAGTATTTTCTATGGGATAATTATTCATCGGTCTCAGAATCCTCGCCCTCAGCATCATATCCAAAATCTGCATCCAACTCTGCGATTAGAGCATCGATGTGTCTCGCTGCGATAGCCCCAGCACTGATATGCCCATTACGGTACGCACTTTTCAACAATTGAAGCGCTTCGAATACTTCAGTGCTGAGAGAGTTGCGAAGCTTTGTACCAGTCAAGCTGCCGCTAGAAAATGCGCGTTCAGCCGGAGTTGTAGACCCTTGAATGGCGAGGTAGTCGCGGGCCATTCGGCGGAGTGTTGGGCGAGAAGTGTTATGCTTTATATATATAAAAATCAGCAAGAAATTTTCGAATAAGATTGGTAAAACCATGGCGGCCAGTGCAAGCTACGGCTCCCTAACGGAGCATTTAAAACGCAAAATTCGGCAAAAATCCCACGGAAATGGTGCCTAGGTATTGAAAAAAATGGATAGGCGCTAGAGGCGGGCTTAGCGAGCAGCGGAGGACCCATATGGCTAGTTTCGTTCCCGGCGCGTCGGACAGCGGCTGAGCATGGCGAGCATGGCGAGCAGGTGAGGTAGTATAGATAATTGAATATTTGAGCAGCGAATTTCCAAAGATGGAATTCCAGTGATTGAGACATAAAACAAACTCCTAGAGCAAGTCAGTAGCAGCCAAGGATGGCAAAAATCATAGGCGTATCCCGACGCATTGAGGTGGGAGCAAGGGTAGAAGCGGGGACCAAAAATCACATAACGAAATGGTCGTAATGATTGGCAATTTGCTAATGATACCGCCGCAACTCGGCGCGTTCCGCATGCTGTTATGCATGATTTCGGCCGAAGAAAATTGTTACGCGTTCGGCGTTCGGACGCGTTCGAACGCGTTCAGAAAAACACCCCGGTAGGTGAACGCCGAACCTGAACCTGGCGTTCGGTTCAGGGAATTGCTGAACCTTGAACCTGAACCTTGCGTTCGGTTCGGTTCGGTTCAGGTTCGAACCGATTTTTGAACCGGACCTTGCCACCACTAGTCGGTGCGAAGCGGTTCACGCGGATACGGGGTGTGCACGCCGTGGGTGTTGTTGGATGAGGGCGAGGTGGAGGGGTCCGGGGCATGATTTGAGGTTGGGTCTAGGTCGGATGAACTAGGGACAGGCGCTAGATAGAAGGTGGTTGGTTAGTTAATGTTGCAGGAAATCGACGACCCAAAAGAGAGGAAGGAATATGTTGATGTCGAGATATCGAAATCAAGCGGAAATAACGTCGGAATCGAAGACAACACTCACGGAAGTAAGTAGCCACATTATGAGGCAGCTCGGCTGGGGATGGGGATGCGTCCGCTGCTGGGGAAAAGATAATTGGTCAGTATGAAAATTCGTCGATGATGGGATTCAAAAAAAAAAAGTGGAGCGGGGCAGATGACGACAGAGAAGCGAAGAATGCCACTCACGAAGATACAAAGCCACGCCAGCAGGAAGATAGGCCTTCGCCTTCGCAATAGACGCAAGAATCGCCGGAATGTACGTCTTCGCGGCAGCCAGTAAGCCAGGGGCATCGTTCTGTTCCCACTTATTGGTGGAAAAGACGACGCTGTTCCGCGGATACCCGCCAGGAACTTGAAGCCCAGGTGTCGATGATAGGGATCCCCACCGTAACCGTATAATGCGGTATACGGTTACTGGTTCGTACGATAATCCGTACCGTCCCGTATGGCCTTTCGGGGCCACCTATACGGTTACGGGTACGGTACGGCAAGTGTTGAAATTCAAGAACGAGGTGAAGTCGACCCTTGCGACGGAGACAAAAAGGTAAGAAATGACTCAATTTGATGGCTTGAACATAACTCGCCTTCCCCTGCCATCGTTCTAGACACCCATATACGGGTTTGTACGGTACCAGACCCCGTACCGTATGCCGTCCCGTAAGGCCCGAAATCCCAATTTTTTACGGCCATTTTCTGTATGGCCGTAACCGTATACGATTACGGTGAGGATCCCTAGTCGATGGCATGGATGCCAGCGGCGGGGCTCTGGAGTCTGGGTGGGCGCGCAGTCGTCTTGGGTGTATCGACTCGAGGGCGGACATTTGCGAGGGGATGAGCGATGTACATGGGGAGGGAAAGTTGTTAATGGACAACATATTCTTGGAGACTTTTATTGGGCTCGCAAGCTCACCCAATTCTCTGAGGGATCCCAAAAAGTAGATGGCTGTGCAGAGTGCATGGTCACGCGTTGATGGTATCCCAGTAAGGGAATTGATGGTCTCCCCGTGAGAACATCAGTGTCAAAGGCATCGGCAGCTCCGACAACGAGAGCCAGCCAGCATGTAAACTGAACGAACACAATATGGCGGGACAGAAAAATAGAGTCCAGTTGGAAGTATGTATGAAAAACACCTGCTGTGCGGTTTCGATCTGCTTTCAATAAAAGATGTAGTGATCAACTTCTTGAACACGCATTTACTGTAAGTCTCGCATCACAGCAACAGTTAGAGTCTTTGTAGGTACCAGTGGTGGAAATATAAAGGCTTGGTTGAATCTTAGGGTCTTGTTTATTATTCGTGTTTATAAACTCGTTTATAAACACCGGTTTATAAACCGGTTTTTTAATGGATCGGGTAAAATGCCCGGTTTATAATTATATCCGTCGGCAATCTTTGATCATGATGCGCGATGTTGGCGCCATGTCGGAATTTTCACTTTGTCTCTTAGCCATTGCCCTCGATGTCTGGCTCTGGGGTCACTTACTATGACGAGGAGCTCACGCCATTAAGTACCCTTGAATGCCAAGCTGGATTGGTGTTGGTTTTATCTCATGAACCTGGTAAGATATCACTCTTGGCCGTGAGGCCTTAGGTTACAAGCTCATGAGGAGCTCTACTGTAGGTACTGTATTTATACTAAATCCCAATTATTCCTGCATGTTCCGGCAAGTTCCATCGAGTTCTATATCAGTCAGCAACCTCGGCTTTGCCTCGGGCTTGTGCTGGATTGCTAATCTCCAACAATTGGAGGCCCTCAATGCAGTAGAGGATAATACGGCTCAACCTCCCGCGATCGATTCAATGTGGGACACGACGCTCGACACCGTGACGGTGTTGACAGCCGCTTACCATTTTTCCGGGATCTGCTTTCGGATAAGTAAACCGGTTGAGGGCGCGGATGCGATCCGCAGTCTCGCAGACTGGTCGGAGGATGTTGTGGCTGACACCCAAGGTGGTAAGAAGGCGTCGGCGAACAAGACATGGGACGGGGAATCGTATTTTAGGCTATATAGGGAAATTGGTTTATAAACACGTTTATAAACGGCCTGTTTATAAACCAAAATTAATAAACCGTTTATAATCCCCCGGGGAATTATAAACAAGACCCTATGGTTGATGCTCAGGGCCATTTACTGTACAAACACCGGACTCGATTCTGGTAACTGTCTGGTGTGGACCGTATGTCTATTCGAAGATTGGATAATAATATCACAGCAATGCACAAAGTGCCAAACACGGGAAGCTGAGATTAGGCAAGCTCACCATTTCTGTAGCCGGTTTACCGGCATACAACACATATTTCACAAACAGAACATTAGTTCTTTTGTGCTAGAGGCAAGGGGTACCCGCATCAAAAATTTCCTACACTAGGTCTAAAAAGTGAATTAAGGTCATGCTGGACCCTCCCTCCCTATGTGACATCACA